ACACACACACACACACACACACATATATTCAGACACATGATCTTCTAAACAGAAGATTTAAAAATTCTACCAAAAGATTCTTAGAATTTAGAACCAAATTTACCAACGTAGCAGGATACAAAATGAACACACAAATATCAGTAGTGTTCCTGTGCACCTAGGTAGTGTTTTTCAATGAGAGAACATGAATGCAGGCTTATTTTGAGGTGTAAGCCAATTTATATATTTCCTTTTTATCTCTAATTAACTCAGTGAGAAAGAAATTAGTAAAAGAATACCATTCCAAATAGCACCTAGAAAAATTAAATACATGGGAATTAACCTAAGCAAAGAAGTGAAAGACCTCTACAGCAAAAACTATAGTACTCTGAAAAAGGAGATCAAAGAGACATCAGAAAATGGAAAGACATCCCCTGTTCCTGGATAGGCAGACCAATATTGTCAAAATGGCCATACTTCCAAAACTGACATACAGATATAATGTAATCACAATCAAAATACCAATAACATTACTCACAGAATGAGAGAAAAAAATTCTAAAATTCATATGGCACAAGAAGAGACCCAGAATACCAAAAGCAACCCTAGGCAACAAGAGCAAATGAGGAGCCATTATAATCCCAGACTTTAAATTGTACTACAAAACTAGTAATAAAAACAGCATGGTTTTGGTATACACACACACACACACACACACACACACACACACAGATGAATGGAACAGAACAGAAGACGCATAAACAACTCCAGGGACATTCACCTATCTGATCTTTGACAAAGGGGCCAAAAACATACGCTAGCAGAAAGATAGCCTCTTTAACAAATGATGCTGGGAAAACTGGTTATACAGATGTGGAAGATTGAATACAGACCTATATCTCTCACCACTTACTAACATAAAATCAAAATGGATCAATGATCTATATGTTAAAACTGGAACAATCTATTGGAAGATAAAATAGGTAAACCTCTTGATGACACAGGCATAGACAAGAATTTTCTGAAAAGAACCCAATGGCACAAGAAATAGCACCAAGAATCAACAAATGGTATCATATCTAATTAAAAAGTTTCTGTACAGCAAAGGAAACAACCAATAGAGTGAGGAGACAACCTATAGACTGGGAAAAAAATTGGTCAGCTATTCCTTAAACAGAATGCTAATATCTGGAGTATATAAGGAACTCAAAAAATTAGATCCCTGAAATGAAAGATCCAATCAAAAAATGGACAACTGAAATGAATAGACACTTCTTAGAAGTATGAATGGCCAATAAATACATGAAAAAATGTTCAAAATCTCTGGCCATTACAGAAATGCAAATTAACATTGAATATTCCACCTTACTCCAAAAAGAATGACTATCATCAAGAAATCAAATAATGACAAATGTTGGCAAGGCTATAGAGTAAAACAAACCCTTCTACATTGTTGCAGGGAATGTAAACTAGTACAATCACTTTGGAAATCATTATGGAGATTTCTCAGAAAACTAAAACCAGAAATTCTACTTGAGTTAGGTATTTTTCTTCTTTGCTATATTCCTGCAAGGTTTACAGACATCAAATTATAATGATGTATGCATACCCATGTTTATAGCAGCACAATTCATGATAGCTAAATCTTGAATGCTACCCATATATTCATCAACAGATCTATGGATACAAAAATGTGGCATTTATACACACTGGAGTACTACTCTGCCATAAAAGATAAACTTGATTCATTTGGAGAAAGATGGATGTACCTCATAATGCTAACTGAAATAAATCTGATACACAAGTTCAAATATTATATAGTTTCTTTTGTATGAGTAATTGTAAATATAAATAAAGAGCAAAATAAAAGATAATAGAAAATAGGGAGATAGGTCTTTTATAAAAGGAAAGGACACCAACAGGAGGTAGGAGGAGGAATAGGAAAGTAACAAAATAAAGAAAAGAATTAAAATGTGTTATGTATATGTAGTAACTCTTCACAATGAATGAAATATTATGTATAGCAAACGTACTAATAAAAAAAATATATATAAAAATAACATATGTTCTGCCAGTATTGGAAATAGTGCTTTATGTGTACATGGTATAGGTGTCTCAATTAGACCAAGTTTGCCACAATATTACTAACTTTGTATTTATTTCAATTATCAAGAGAAGTATGTTAAAGTCTACCATTTAAATTGATTTGTCCATTTCCTCTTTAAAATTACGTATTTTTGTTATATTATTCATAAAAGTTCCTTATGAGTCTATTTCATTTGCATTTTGTGTTCTATTTTTTATACTTGTCTGTATGAAGGGTCAAGAGGAAGAAACATAACCTAGATTTAATATCTAAGCAGGAAAGTTCTAAGCTTTTATTTCTATACTTCTCATACTTAATTTTCTCGGTTGTTTTTCTTATTTCTCATTTGAATTTTAGAATTAGCTTTAGTAACAATAAGAAAAAATCTTTTAAAAATTGGAATTATGTGATATTTGTATATTTTACTTTATGGAAGTCTGAGAGCTTTATCTTTCTACATGAGTATTTTCCACTTAAATCTCCTTTTCTTGAAGAGAGTTTTTGAGAGTTTTTATTTGCTTTAGTAGGGAATATAGATCCTATACTTAAGAATAAAAGCAGTGTGAATACTTGATAAAATGCAAGTTCCCAGACACAACCTAAGAGATTTTGATTCTTTACTACTAACATATTCTCCATATTCTCATGTGAGTGGTTCAACACAAACTCTGTGAACTACTCGTATATACATCTTGTACATTTCTTAAGTGTTTTCTTAGGTATTTCACATTTTTGCTATCATAAATATTTTTCCTCTATTTTTACCTTCTAATTGGTTAAAGTTTGAATACATGAAGGTTACTGATTTCTGTTTCTTGTTATTCCTGGGTAATTTCCAAAATACAAGAAGGAAATGGAAGCAATATTGCATCAATTCAAGACAGATTCATTTATACTGTGATAATTATTTCAGTTAAGGTAACAACTATACATAAAAAAGTCTTGTAGATAGTTTCAGGGTTTGAATTTAATTGTAACACATTCATTTATTTCATTGGAAGTAATTAATTATGTATTACCTCATAGAAAAAAGAAATGTGGCCTTTCAAAACCTCTATGGTATCTTAATCCCTCCTTCATTGATTGCCACAAGAAAAAGAGATCAATTTCTTTAACTTTGGATAACATCATAATGTAAGAAATGGCTCCATTCCTATACTAGAATTTAGAAAAAATTATTATCTAGAAAAACTATTTCCAAGACAGAAATCTATTATGTATTTTCTAAAATATTTATTTCATTCATACATCCAACAGTTTGATATTTTTATTGTACATTTTTGAAAAATTTTGTCAATTTTTTACAAATTAGGAAGCAAAAGGTAATCTCTTTAACTCATGGTAACTAATCATGTGTTATTAATAGAACAGAAATAAATGTCAGCCCTCATTACAGTTACAAACCCGCATTCCTACTAATTGTTAAAAGGCTTGCCCCAGCTAACTCTACTTCATTAACAAAGTCTATGGCTGAAGCCCTTTACAAAAAGTAAGATGGAGATTTCAAGGCCTTAGTTACACTGCATAACCCAAAGATATATATATGATATTACCTGCATTGTCTGGAAAGAAAAATCTTCTTGTAAGAACTTCTTAATATGAGGAACCACTCCTTTTGGTAGAGTATTAATTGCATTTAATAACTTCTTCACCTCTAATAGTAGGTCACCAGGGACAAGATCAGTAGGTATGTCCTTTTTCTGTTTGTCCTATAAGACATTTATCCATTCAAAATTTACAGTGTTATACATATTCTCATTTCCTCTACTGACAAAAATAGAAAAAGTATTTAAAAAGCAACAAAGTTCCAACTGTACATAGGTAATTATAACAGAACCACAAAATACAAGAATGAGAAATTCTCTCTGTTCTCAAGAAATGCACATTACATTGATTATTCCACATAACATGAAAACCATATATATGTATATATGTATATATGTGTATATATATATATATATATATATGATTGCTTTTTACATTATGTGAATGTTTCAGCTACTAAACCTACAGCAACTTGAAAAGGAAAAAGTTATGAGTTAAATCACAAATAAAAATAGAGGGAATCATTTCAATTCAGTAAGACCTGAGTCAATAGTAATAATAATCTTGCAAATTCAAACATATATTTTTATAGATTTAATACGGACAGCATTAAGGGTTAGTTGATAAAAATATAGTCAAGTCCTACTGGACTGTCCATTAACATTAATTATGAAGAACTGGTGGGAAAGACAAATGGGTAGAGAGCCTGGAACAAATACATGACAGTCTTTCTTCAACAAGTTGTAACCCAACAAGATACTTTGGGAATATCATTACTTTGATGTTGACTTCGAAATATCAGAAACAATAGTTTCTTATTGTAGAACCCATAAATAGTTTGAGTTACAAAAAATGTCCACTCGTGGGGTGAATATGACTGTCAGATCTCCAACAGATCTAGAATTACACAGGAAAGTGATTTGGTATCAATAAAGCCTATTCAGGACTACTGCCTACTCTCTGCTCCTGAGCTCGGGCCTTAAATTAATATTCTTCCATTTCTATCAAATCTACCAACTATTCTTTTTTCTTTTTCTTTTTTTGGCACTGGGGACCAAACTCAGGACCTTGCGCTTGCAAGGCCGGTGCAGTGTCACTGAGCTAAATCCCCAGCAAACTATTCTTTATATTGTATATTATTCCATGCATGAAAATTATATCCAAAAATTTTAAAAAATGTTAACAGTTTGCTAAATCTTTGTGAAAAGTATATAAGTAGGTAAGTATATAGATAGTTGTATTATTTGTGCATCTTTTCTGTAGATTTGAAATTTTCCCAAAATGTTAACAAATTTCATAAACCAGAAAAATCTTTATAAAGAATGAGTATTATCAGTAGTGTACTTATTTCAAACTAAAGGTCATTTCTACAGTTAGTGGAAAATCATCTGATACTACTTAACAAATTTACACACAAGCAAAATTCCAGGATAAATATATCTCAACAAGAAATAGCATAAATTTCATGCTTGTTAAATATTTATACCATATTATACTTATACAATTTTATTTTCCTAGTACTGCAGATTGAACTCAGGACTTAATCATGCTAGTCAAGTTCTCTATCACTGAAGTACATCACAGCCTTCCTTTTTTTTTTTCTTTCTTTTTTTTTATTTTGACAAGAGTCTCATTAAATTGTCCAGGCTGTCTGGAACTTGCAATTCTTCTGCCTGAGTAGCTGGGATTACAGGCATGTGCCAATGTGCTTGGCTTCGATTTTAAATTAATAACGCTAATTGACAAAATATTTTGTTCTTGATCTATTATTACAAAATAAATTTAACATCACAGCCAAACTCAGATCATCCACTTTCCTGGCTTTTTATATTCCTATTTCTGTATCTAGAAATGCCTCTTCTGTATCTAATCTCCCTGATTCTTGCCTCCCTTCAACTGTAAAGCCATATGTACATATATTATATTTACTCTGTTATATTTTGACAGCAATAAGCTCATGTAGGTAAATAATGTGGTTACCTTATTTTTCCTAAGTTATTGAAAAACCTGTGTAACCTTTAAATGGACATCAATTACTATATAAAACTCTGTGGAAAAAAAAACTATGTGAAAGATAAAAACTTTTACTAAAAAAAACATAATAAACATGCTTGTTCATCAACATTTCATTAAATATGACATATGCCATTCACAAAAATATTTTAATCTACTATTAAGCATACAGCATGAAAGTTTATACTAATATGTAATTCAGTTATTTATTTTCATTCTCTTTATTGTTCTAACAGTAAAGATTATAAAAAATCTAAAAATTACTACAGAAACAGCTCAGTGAAATTTCTTATTAAATAAAGTTTGTATGTGTATATGTTTTCTTTTCTATGTGTATGTCTGGAGTTTCATTTTGAACCTTCCCTTCAAAAGACAAGTGAGAGTACTGGGAATATTATTCAATGGTGGAGCCCTTGTTCAGCCGGAATTGATCTCCAGCATGGCGAAAAAATGAAAGATTTCTCAAAATTGATTTTTGAGATGATTCAGGTAAATCAATTCTATTTTTTTTTTCATTTTAACTTATGGTATTTTAACTTACGGTAGCGGAGAGAAATGGTATTTAGAATGATAACCATATACAGCATCAATCATTCAAGAAAGATTTAATTATGCTTTTACTTATTAAAACAGAAAAATGGACTCATTAAAACATTTTTATTTATTTTTTTTTATTAAAACATTTTTAACATAACTGAACTGACTATATTACATCAGCCAAAAAAATTTCCCTTACTGGTTCAATGGTTGATTTTTCTACTTCACTCTCAGTTTCCTCTTCAGTCTGCTCCTCCACTGCAGCGTCCCTATTTTAAACAACAAAAAATTATTAAGGAGCATCTCCTCACAAAGATTTTAAATGATAGTAGGAAAGAATCTACAAGTGAAAGCTACATGTGGTGGTCTACCACACCTGTAATCCCAGCACTTGGAGGCCAAGGCAAGAGAATCTACAATTGCAGGCCAACCTAGACTGCAGAGCTAGACTCTGTCATAAACAAAGAAAGAATCTAACAATTACATTTTTGCCTGAAAGTTCAGAAGTGTAACCTGTGTGTATCAATGGGAGTAGGTGCTTTATCTTTATCTGTTTTAGTTAAAAAAAAAAAGAATATTATGTTAAGTACTTACTGGATGATGGTAGAGAAAACAGCAAACTGATAAAAACAAAACAAAACAAAAACAAACAAAAAGTATGCATCTTTAACAGACACACAATAGATAAAAATAATGGGGAAAAATAACCTTATTGTATCAAGGTAATGAAAGACAGTCCTTGAAAAGGTTGATATTTTATGATCTATCTATTATCTATCTATCTACCTACTTATCTATATCAAAAGTGAAGAAAAGATCTATCTTATATAGATCATTTTACTTTTATGTTTGGAGTTCCTAGACTTAAAATTGTCCAGCTTTCCAAAATAGTTTTTAAAATTTAAGTAGAACTTTTAGAATTTATTAACTGTTTTGGTAATCAGGAATAGATTGAGAGGTTTTCCTTTCCACATTGATTCAAAATGTAAACATGGGGAGTGCTATAATAAAATAAGAATTTTATTTATAAAGTTTCTTTTGTACCATCATATAGTAACTATAATATAGGATTATATTTTTATTTATGTGATCTAAGAATTCTGTGTAATAACACATATAAAACTAAGACATTGATTATTTGGAACTGTACTTTACAAATATTACCTATTGCATTTTATATTCAGGTATTCATTTGAAGATAATCATTAACCATCATATACATATATATATATACACATATATATATATATACACACACACACACATATATATACACACACACACACACACACACATATATATATATATACACACTAGCTGATTTTGGTCAGGGAAAACTGGGACAGATAACTATTAAATGTTTTCCACATTTTCAGAATCCTAGTAAAAGTTTCAATGAAAGATGATTTATAAACAAAATAGTAATTTACAATATGACTCAGTGGTCTTTAAAGTGTCATTGTAAAGACAAATTGTCCATTAATCCATTGTCTCCCTCCACATTTAAGCCTCATTTCAAAAAGAAATTTGAGGAAATGCTTGTGTTATCAAGGAATAAAAATATTGCAATAATTCCTGAAGCCTTTCAAAGTTGAGTGTAAAACGTTCTCAAATGTGTACTCTACTTACTAATTCCACTTCATGATGACTTACTCCTTAACGCAGTAGTTTTCATTACCAGATGTATATTAGAATCAACTATGAACTTTTGTTACATTCAGATTTGCAAACTGTTTCACAGCTTCTCAATCAAGTACCCAGACTCCATAACAAATTTCAATGTGTAACCCTAACTTCCATCTTTTCACAAAATAAAGCTAACTCCTCTAGCAAGACAGTCAAAGTCTTCCCCAAGAATTATTACCTTTTTCTGGGTTTCATAACCAAATGACCTTCAACCCCCCTTGCTTCCACTCATAAAAATGTTTTTCATTAATACCAGGTTAAGTATCACTTTATGAAAACTCAATCTAGAACATGTAAATACTGTTCTTTTCTATATGTAGCCACAGCATCTCTAATTATTCTTATATACTTTAACTACAGGTATTTTCCCATTACATTATAAACTCTTAAGTGCACAAATTTTGTCTTTATTTCCAAAGCAACAGTCAGTAAATGCTTGTGAAATAATAGATCATACTGATTATTATATGAAACATATATACTAGTTCCTATGAGACAACGCAAGGGTGGAAGATCTCCAATACTAATAGTATTATATGGGAAATGTACAAGCAAGCTGAACTTGTCCTGGCTGGAGGGGACAGACTCCCATCTGGCCTAGGCCCAAATGAACCACTCACTAAGGTTTTCTATATTATGCTTAAGTTAAACTCAATAAAGTGGGGATAAAGTATCCACATCACAGAATTTTTATGAAGTTTGTATGAATACTTATAAAAGCATTATAAACAATATCCCATATATAGTAAGTTCACATGAGTGCTTGTTTAAACATTTCAGGGAGAATGGCCCATATACAGCAAGATGTAGCACATTTTTCAATTCTTACTCTTTACCCAGGACAGTGGTGGCAAGCATGCCACAGCCATCTGTTCATTATCACTGAAAGCACTAAAAAGTTCCCCATCACTGACCCAGGGTATAATTCCTAGAAAACTTTTCTGAAATTAGGTTTTATCCAGTCTACATCAAGCCTAATTAAAGATGTTAAATTATCTTGAAGCATAAAGGTCTCTCATTTACAGGAGCTTCCCAAGGTATTCTGGAAGTCAAATGTCAAGTCTAACATGTGCAATTGGTTTGTGTCAACCCATCCCTTACCTCACAAAAAATTCTTCTGGTAGAGAATCCATGTTGTATAAAGTTCCTTTACAAAAGTCTTCTTCCAGTGCTTGCAAACTTTTACTATTGCTAATTAAAGCTGTAAGGAAAGTAATATTTTTAACAGGAGGGTACGAGCTTTGCTTGCTTTCTTCTCATTATAAAAATAGTAATCACTTTTTTAAAAAGAAACTGTTATAAAAGAATGTTGTTTCACCATTCAAGCATAATCACTGCCTATATTTTAATGTAGTTATTTTTTCCAGGGGCAGGTATATTTTGTCAACTAGTATCTATATTAAATAGAAAATGTTCTACTCTACCTTTTCATTATTGAATGTTATATATCAAAAATATCTTTCATGTTATTTTACTGTCCTGATGAACATTCTTAATGGATACACAACTGTTGGCTCATTGGAGTTTACTGGAACATTTTCTTATATTTAGATAGATTTTTTTCCATTAGAATTAATTCCATGATAAACACATATGAATAATCTTTTTCTCTATTAGAACTACTTCCTTACAGTAAATACTCAGACCACAGGACAATGCAGCAAGCTGTTGCTCTCCAGGGTAGACAGCAAGCCAACACTGGGCTGAGACCATCCCAAACCCCACCTGGCTCTACATTTTGCTTCCCCTTGGCATGGGGCACCAGAGGAGTGGATGGACTAGTGGATGGGACTCATCTAGGACTAGAATCCTAGACGAGGCCAATACCTAGAGAGAAGGTAAGCCAGGAGGGCCAGCGAACCCAGAAAGTACGGACCTGGGTAACAGCTTTAGGCATTCCAATGGTAACCTCCCAAATTGACTGGGTGAGAGACAGCCATAGGGAGACCTCTGCAGAAAGGGTACAGATTAGACATACACCCCATAAATTTAAGCTCAGGCTGAGAAGGACAAGAGGTCTGCCCTCTTTAGTGAGATATCAGGCCCAGTGAGTGGTAACATGAAGGCCAACAGTCTATTTGAACAACCATTCTGCAGCCTATATCCAGCAGAGACCAGAGGGCTGTTTTTCCCATCTACCAATGTGGGCAAGCACACACCTCATATCGGACAGTTACCACCATCTGGGTGAACAAAGAGGGACTCAGGTCCATGGAGGGCAACACACAAACCCAGACCATAAAGCTAGGTGGAGAAAATCATGACTTGCTGGATCACAAGACTGCAGATCTTGGAAAGAAATCACTCATTGAAAAACACCAGAACTTTTTTTCACTCAATCTTTATTTTTTACTATTTTTCTCTTTCCTTCACTTTTTTTTTTGGAGGGGGTGGGGGGGTTCCTATTTTGTCACTTTTTTCCCCTTATCTTTCATTTTCTGTATTTTGCTGTTTTCTTTTTCACCTTCATTCTTTTCTATGACTGTTTTCCATTAATACTAATTTCCCTTTATTCAACAGCATCTATCTCACTTTTCTCTCTTCCTTCTCATCTTCCATTGACTAATTTTTCAAATTTTCTTTTTTCATTCTCCAGTTTCCCACCGCCTCTATCCTTACTAGTATAACTATAAAGGCTAATGAATCTTTAAATAGTTAACTCTACACTATTATGTTGAATACTGTTCTATTGTTAGTAGAGGTAGTTATTCCATTTAGTAGATATTGGATGTGTATTAAAATTTGGTTTTAGTGTTTATACTGTAATTATAGATCTCTTTTCTGTGGTTGAGGATGGTATATTATTGGTTCTTAGGGTATGTCAATATCCACTTGTGCTCCAATGCTATTATTGTGGCTGATGTACCCATACCCATGTTTATAGCAGCACAATTAAAAATAAATCATGGAAGTGACCTCTATGTCCATCAATAGAGAAATGGATGAAGAAAATGTGGTATTTATACACAATGGAGGACGACTCTGCCATAACGAAGGGTAAACTTGAAGTATTTATAGGAAAATGGATCTACCTTGAGACCATCATGTTACTTGAAATAAATCAGATATACAGGTTTAAATATCAAATGGTTTCTCATATGAAAAATCTCACATAAACATAAAGAGCAAAATATAGCTAGCAGATTTTAGGTAATTAGATCTTTCTCAAATGGGAAGAGGATCAAGAGATGGAGGGTGGGGAAAATATACAAATGAAAAAGTATTACAATGTGTTATGTACATGTACCAACTCCCTACACAGAATTATTATGTACCGTAAATATGTATTAATAAAACTTTTTTAAAAAGATAATAGTCTCAGAAGTAGAATTCCTAGGTCAAAAGGCATATTTTAGTCCTCTTGGTGCATACTGCTAAATGGCTTCCCAAAAGATTTTTACTAAGTTATTTCCTATACAGGTCTATAAGTTCAAAATTAATACAATCTTAATATAACTATTTAATTTCCTTTAATCTAAAAATAATATGCAGCCACTTCTCAGTGATTGTATGGCTCCGTAAAATAGGAGACAAGGGATGTGAAGAGCTTTTGGACATGCTTTGGTTCAAGTATCAATGAATCTTATGGATGTTTCCTGAAAAGAAGAAAAAAATACTGAGACAACACCAATGAAAGAGACTAGAGTATCTTTAGTATGTATTTATTATAAATCTGTATTTCAAGAATAACTCTTCTAATAGTAGTCCCATTTGATCTTTATTGAGCACTACAGATTATAGACTCAATGTCCTCTGCTAGGCTGGCTTTCCTTTCTGATCCCTCTCTATAAATTCAGAAATTGTTAGAACAAGCATATGTAAAACTATTGCTAAACGCTCTGAGGCAAAGGAAGAAATGATGAGGAAAAGAAAAGAAAGAAAGCAATGGCATAAATAAAACACATATACATGGCCTGGCTGCCAAACATAAGACTGACTAACATTTCTCATTTGCAGCCTATACAACTTTTTTTTTTTTTGGTTCAGTAACTATGTACTCAATTTCTCTAATATCACTGGGGGGGGGGGTAACTGGGTATTGAACCCAGGGCCTTCACACTGAGCTATATCCTCAGTGGCTTTTTATTTTTTTCATTTTGAAACAGGGACTTACGAAGTTGCTAAGATGCCTAGGCTAGACTCAAATATGAGTCTCTTGCCTCAGCCTTCCAGACTGTTGGGATTACAGGCTTGTGCCACCAAGCCCAGCTCTCTAGCGGCATGTTTAAAACACACCCAAAAATAAAATTGGTACAACTTTTCCAAGCCCATTTCTAGAAGATAATTTGAGCTACATTCCTCCTTTTTATTTTTGGATTTTTTGAGACAAGGTCTCACTGTGTAGCCCAGACTGGCCTTGAAAGGCCCTTGCCTTCTGCATACTACCATGTGCCACCAGGCCTAGCTGCATTAAACAATTTTGAACATACAACTTGATTTTGATAGCTATTTAAAAAAGACAGGTTTACTACATCAACTCTAAATTAAACATACTCCAGAAGTGCATGAGACTGCAAAGAAGCATATTCTGACACTGCTAATTATTACTTCTGTTGGATTTCACCAAAAGAATTTTTAAAAATTTCTCAGATAAGTGAGATGTTATGGTCACTCCAAGGCTTGAAGAAACTACTTTGCATGAATATTGAAGAAATTTTCATATAGGAGTTCCTTACAACCAAAGTTTTAACCATTTATCTGATTATGTCTGCTATTCAAATAGTAATAGCCACTCTTGGTGGTTTTTGGAATGGTAAGTTCGCTTTGTCATGGGGAGATTAAAGTACCAGTGACTCAATGTCTTATAAACAACAGAAATTTATTTCTCACAGTTCTGCAGGCTGGAAGTCCAACATCAAGATGACAGCATGGTCAGTTTGCTAAAGGTCTTTTCCTGGGTTGCAAACTGCTGACTTTAGACTTCTTGCTGTATCCTCACTTGTTGGAAAATGGGCAAGAGAAATCTCTAGGGTCTCTTTTACATTCATATGCATGAGGACTCCATTCTCATAACCTAATTTACCTAGGGGATATGTTCCATCACATTGGGGATTAAAATTTCAACATATGAATTTGGGAGGGAGGGACAAATGTATTCCGTTGCACGAGTGTTCTGTGGCTCCACTATTCTGAAAGTGTTTACTTCTCATATGTAAGCTCCAAGGAGACAAAAAACATCTAAGTCTTTAGGTCAGACAAAAGTAAAACAAAATGAACAATTATTTTGTATTAGTAGTGTTAAGAAGGAATAAAGTATATTAAATACTTGGTTTTCTAATTTTCCATTTTTTTGAATTTGTGTAACTTAAGGTCACAAAATAAACCTACCTAGACAAAAGTGGACAAAACATTATTTGCCCCCAGAAGGTACAGTTTGCTGAGGCAAACTCCAGCATTGATGGTGATACTTCGAAAAACCTTTCCAAAAGGTATCAGAAATTTTGATTACTGTCCATCTGAACTCTTGCATTTTGCAAATATCATTGTTAGTACTACCTGGCATCTTAAGCCAGAAAGGAAGAGCCTTAAAATGTATACCCACTGCGTCTTTGTTATGTTACAAATCTGCCAATACTGGAAATATAACTGCCTATAGCAAAATTAGTATAGAAGCAAGTTTTTTATTCTATTTAGAACTATTTAGCCTGTTATGTCTCAACTTATACAGCCAAATCTAACACAGCTTAGAATATTCTTAAAAAAGAAAAAAAAAGAAGCACATTCAGATATTAAACTAACCATTACTTTTCAAGTATTCATGAGTAAGGAAGAACTGGAAGGAGCATATGCCACCCTTGGGCACATTCTCCAAGTGTGGTATAATCAGTAATTTTAAAATATTACATTGTCATTATAGTTAGAAAATAGTGACAAAAGGTAATGTTAAAACACTACACATGCAGAAATGATAATTAGCTATAGAGTAGACAACTGTTTTCTTTTTGTACTTGGCTCTTCTACTACCAACAACAGAGCCTACAGTGTCCACCTTCAACTTATTCCACTTTGTAAAAAAATGGGCTGCTAATTGTTATCTTAGAAAGGCATACATTTGTAAGAAGGTGAGAAGGCAGGTTAAGCTTTTGGGTATGAAGTTTTCCTTTCACAGAAAACTAACAGGGTGTATTGATTTTGATTTTATTGAACATAAGATTTTCACCAGGTTCTATGTATCAGGCGCTAGGGTAAGTACCTACATAC